TTTATATGATTTTAAAAAATAAATGTTTTCATGACTATTTTCTTGAGATCATAAGGCAAGGTTTCCCTCTCCAATCTAATAAATGCGTTATATTTTTGTATGACAATGACCACTTGAGAGCAAAGCAAAATTAACTAACTGAACTAGTTTTTTCTTAATAGAGATTTATTCTATAACAAAGAAACCCTGTGGACTCAGTACAAAAGGAAAACTAGTGGATGCCTTTTTCTTACTCAGCTACGTAGCAGATTTCATGCTATTTGTCTGTTTCTGCCAACTGCATTACTTACCTCACACATCATGGCTGCACCTATGTGTGAAACAGTTTGTTCAAATGTACACAGTTTGCTCAGCAATGATTTTCCTTTATATTTAAACCTAAACATATGTATATATAGTATAAGTATGTACCACTGTTTTAATTATATCACTTTTTTCTATTCATTTCTGGTGTACTTGGCTATTTTCAATTTGGATTGTTTAATACTTCATGCCATACTAGAAACTTCTGTGTGATTTAATAAATAAATTTATTTATTTCTGCTCTGTGGTCTTCAGTTCCTGGAAAAGAGTGCAGAAACCGTCTTTGGCTTACAAAGTCTGAAGACTTTTAAATCCTTCCTTTCTTTGCATTAGCCCTTTTGACTTCTAGTTGAGCCATTATTTTTTTTAAACTTTTTTGTTCTAAAAGACTAAAGTAACTGGATCCAGAAATAACAAGGCTCACCCTGAGCTCTTGTATGTCTTGTCTTTACACATTTGTAGCCTGGGATCAAGTTAGACTATTGGGAGTAGCAGACAGGCATTCATGCATTCAAATTATTCTCTCCTGACTAGTAAATAATTAAACAATTCTAATTGTATGACTTATAAGGACAGCATCACCATTTCCTTCCATCTATTTAAAATGTTTTAAAAGAATTCACTGCTGCATAATATCCGAAAAGAAATTGATCATACTTTTCCTGTAATAAATGTTGTCCTGACAGTAAAGCATTAGCAACCAATTGATAACCTAGCAACAATACTGTGATCTCTTTAGATAATTAATCTTCGCTATTTTCCTGTCAGGAGCAACAGTGCTTGATTTTATGTTGAGCCAGAAAGATTGCCAGTTTTGAAAATTAAAAAGCATTCCTTTTATATTATTCATCCCAGTAACAATTTATGATGGTGCATTTAGCTGCTGAACGCTTGTCAACAAACGTAATTATGTTTCGATATAAACAAGATTGGTGGTTTTACTATGCAGCTCCGTCTTTGGTGAGAATGTTTTGATTTAGGCTCAGATTATACAAGCTGTGTGTTTATGTGTCATTTTCCCCCTCCTTTGTTAATAGTTTTTATTTCTTCTGATAATTACTTGTAGGCAAACAAGCATGCATTTAGGATCCTTGTGCACAGGAGACATCAAAAGGAGAAGAAAAGCCGCGCCTTTGCCTGGACCCACGGCAGCAGGTAACACAAAACGGGTGGAGTGGAACACAAATGCAGACCAATAAATCACCGGGAATAAAACATGGGCGATGGGTAATCACTCTCCCTGCAAGAAAGGCGTGGTTGCAAGAAGCGGTAATGCAGATAGATCATTTGCCTTACCTTAGAATGTATGTATGGTCCATTCATTGTGTGGACCTTGGAAGTAGCTAATCAATGAGACACATGTTGTGCACACACCCAAATGGGTGGGACACAGCACAGGTACAAAAACCTCCAATGCTGTGTCTTTGGCTGACCTGAAGTAATTTTCAGACTTGCAGGGGAAACAGGGAATAAGCAGGAGAAATGGCGAAGAGCTCACTACCTAACACCATTTGATTGCTAGACCTGAGTGGTGTGTATAGGATAGTCCCTGACTAGCTGCTAACGTCTGCCTTTTCCGTGGCAATGCCCTAAGCATCCTGAGAGTGTGCATATTCTGAGGATATACGAAGCCCTCCTTTTGCTGCTGTCCCCCCTGTTACTTCCTACCCTTCTCTTCCTTTCTGAAATAGCCTTCCCGCCCTTGCAGACGTGAATATGGTGCATGGTGTTGGTACAGTTGACAGGTGTGGGCTCAGCAGCCATGCTCTAGTTAGAACACTGCATACAAAGTAAGTGAACTTGTGGGGTGTTATGAAAATGTGTGTCATTTTTTTACACCAAGAGATGGCGTCTGGGGTATCCCTGGCAAAGATCACAGACAAAGCTAAATAGACTGTCTGCCACAAATACCATCTAGTTATCAAAAGTATTATGTCCCAGAAGAAGAAAGGACCAAGGGGTGGGAAGGAGGAGTATTGGGAGAGCAGATCCCATCAAAATACATCATATGCAAAAATAAAGAGATCATAGAAAAATCTATTATTTTATACAGTTAACATACACTAACATAAAATGAATTGCATATACTGATTTGAACCCAATTATGTGTCTGAAATTTATAGAAGATGCATCAGCTATTACTGCAGAGAAATGTAGAGTATTCATGAAATACTTGTGATATATAAAATCTATCCATAAGGAATTTCAGTCACATTTTAGGTCAAATAGATGTGATAAGCTCTTCCAGTCTCTCCTAAGGCTGGGACAGGATTCCTCACCATCCCTGTGCCCAGTGAACTCTGCCCTCAATGGCAGAAGCCACAGAAGTGCGTGTCCTAGGAATATAACTAATGGTCCCATGTAGCCACAGTAGCAGAGCAGAAGACTGAAGCAGGCCCTGACACTGAGCACCTATGTGAAGCAGGGACAGCAGGTGCTTGAAGAAGCGGTCACATGGTTCTTCCTACAGCAGATTTTGAATCCAGAGCTCAGGGCATCAGACGAAACCATTTATTAAGAATTTAGATTCAAGCCTTAACTGTACCCTAAAACAGCCAGCCCTTTGTCCATAAGCCTGTGTTAATCGTGTGCCAGCACATCCCAGATACCATATTTCAAATCTGCTGAGATCTTTTAACATTTGAGATTTTCATTTTACTACTAGATTTTAGCTTATGGAAAAAAGTTCACAGGCATTGAATGTGATGAGTTTTTGTCGTTGTTATTGTTTTGGTTTTTGGTTGGTTGGTTGTGGAAAATGTGTGTCACTCATTTTAAGTGTATTTTTCAAACCTGTGTACAGCAACAGTTTGTTTCAGAGAGGAAGAAATGCAGGTGTTTGAGGCAAGCCCTTAGATTTAAGAGAAGACCTTCTAGCACTAATGACTCAGACCTGAGTGAAGGCGCTTATCCCGATGCAGTCAGAAAAGCCATTGAATACCCGGCCAAGGAAGTTAGACAATGGACAGCGCCTTGGCCATGAACATTGGTGTTTTCAAGTTCTGGAAATGAGTTTGTCAAAGGATTCAGTGCCTGTAGCATCTGTAAATTTCCCAGACTCTACTGACATATAAAATTCTACTTGAAAAAGTATTCTTGAGGCCAGAAAAATGACTCGGTAGGTAAGAGCACTTGCTGTGCCTCTACCAGGGCGTTCAGATACCCCGTAGCCACCCAAAAAGCTAGAGCCATCCAAGAGTGCCAGTAACTCCAGTGCTGCAGGGAACAGAGAGAGACCGGAGGATCAGTCCCGAGGGCTTGCTTAGCACAAGCCTCACTACAGGTTCCTGGGAATAAGGTAGAGAGTGGCAGAGTGGGACACCAAATGCCTCCTGGCCTGTGAGCAAATACACACACACATGCGCACGCGCACACACAAACACACATGCACATGTGTATGTTCTTGCTGTGTTCACAGATGCTTTCAGGGCTTCCATAAGACACACTTCCCTGGCGTTCACTCTCATGTTACTTTTAGTTAACGTTGACTCTAAATGAGGAAAATTTAAAAAAAAAACTCCTAATATGAAATGGGAAGAATCAAGAGATAGACAGGTGGATACTGCTTGCAATTCTCTGATTTCTCTGTAATTTATTATGAAAACAAATAGCAGATATAGAAAGGACTTAGCAAAAGCTTGCTGGAAATGAGTAATTAGGAACTTTTCATTTGCCATCCCACATTGGATATGTGTAAGTTGATGACTCTCAGCATGAACAGTTGTACAATATATTCATGATAAATGGTAATGTCTGTAAGACACTCCAAACCAGATCTGATTGTGATGAGGCTGAGGTGGAGAAAATCCCCATCCTCTTAGCAGTTGTGCTGAGCAGAGTTCAGTCTCTTTAGAAGCTGCACCAGCCAGCAGTGGTATTGGTCGCACATTTATTAATTGTGACAGGAACACCAAATTTATTTCAGTGCTTTAGCTTATTTACTGCTCTTTCACCTTTGTATTCAGTATTGACAGTGTAAAATGAATATTGATATGGTTAGATATTGACTTTTTAAATGTATGGCTTGTTCTCTGCCTCCTTCAAAGTCACATGCCAAAGCCAGTGTGTGTCTCCAGCAAAGGATGTAGATTTACTGTTGTGAAATTGAGGAGTGCTGAAGCAAGAGGCGTGCCAGCAGAGTGCATTTTATAATCTGCAAAATGCCGTCTGCAAAGGTGAGGGAAAGCAGTGCGCCACAGAGGAAGAATATTGTCACCCTTCTTACAGGCAGCCAGCAGTGGTAGCTTGGTCTTCGTTCTTGGTAGAAGTCCTAGCTTACTAAGTATTTAGCGGTAAAAATATTAAATACTTTTGTTGAGAAACGGTGCCGACTGCAATTAGGTATCGTTCACTTTGCCGCACTAAGTTTAGTGCTGTTTGCACTTATTGCTGCCTGGTCTGTTTGTTTTGCTATAACCTAACCCTCTATTACAAAGAACACTCCTCCAACCACAGTCAAAGACTATACCTTTCATTTAGGGTTTCATCATTTAAGAAAAGAAACTGGTCTTACATTGTATTTCCACTTCAATTTAAATTATTTTCATTGTTTAAAACATAAGTGCAAGACTGGATAACACATTCAGTGGGTGAGTGTGTGCAAACACTACCAAGCCCTGGGCTCCATCCCCAGTACCTCAGAATAAAATAAAACAAAAACAAAATAAGATAGAGATATAGTTAAGCACCCATTTAGATTGATTTTTACACTTTTATTTCCATGAAATGTATGTGTAATATTACAGGTCAAATAATTGACGCATTTGACTAACAGTAGTAACACTTAGCATATTCTCACTTCTTGTCCCTAAAGTAGGTACTGAAAACATAATTACTGCTCACAGTTTTGATAACATAGCTAGTAATCGCCCTGACCCTCTGATGGCTAGGAAAAGGACTGTAAAGAAGAAGGGAGAACTTGTAACCACCCTCTGGATTCAGGGCAGGGACAGGACAGGCCCAAGCTTGCTGCCATATGGGAAGCAGCCTGTCACCTCCCTTCCCACTGGATGTTGATCCAACATCAATACAACACTTTAGGAGCCAAATTACTCAACAAGCTGCCAATTAGGCTTGCAGTCAGCTGGATAGATTAGTGGCTAAGGGAGACCTGTGCAAGATTTTCATCTCTTGAGCCAATTACGCAAGGGAATTGCCCTCCACCCCGCTCTGTTCTCTGCAGGGTCTGGGGGCGGGAGGACACACTCTACTTGAGTAGACTCCGGAAACCCAGCAGACAGCCTAGGAACCTGGAGCAGGAAAGCGTTAGCCACGGCCCCACACAGAGAGAGCAGTCTCGGAGAGGACCTAAAAGATGTAGCAGTGCAGGGAGCCAGAGGAAAGGAAGCCATGGCTGTGGGGTGGGCTGTGCTGAGTCTAAGTGTTGACTCCCAGGTTTTTCTCTCACAGAGCAAGAGTGGGAGAGCAGCGGGGTCGTTTGTCTTTCCCTGCTGGTCCTATGTGGGAACGCAGCACATCTGGACCTCAGAGTCCTTCATTTTTCCTTCCAAATACAAGACATTGCTTATTTGACTCTATGTTTATGAGGTAGAAAAAATTAAACAGCATTCTCAACAGTGAGAAAGAACAAGTCCTTTGACATTTTATATACGTGAAACCTGAGAAGTAGAGCAACCACCACAGGCCTCCATACTTCCGTTCCCGCATCACGGCCGTGCCGTTCTCACGGCCTCTCTCAGGACTCAGTCTGACAATCATGTAGCAATTTCCAGAGGCGCTTTAAATGGACCTCATTTTTTTTCCTTCTTCCTTTTTCAATTAAAGCTGAATTTCTGCAATCCTTTGTTATAAAAATCGGTGCGACCAGATGTGTCGCCAAGGACAGCGTCAGACCCCTGACCTGACCTCAGCTTATGCACAGACTTGCCTTGAGTTGTTGCACTCACTGAAAACGGAGCTAAGCGAGTGTACTCACTTGCATGGTGCTCGCCTACGAGCACGGCGCTCACCTGACACTTGCTCTGCAGCCCACAGGCTCCGGTGACCACCCCATTGCTGTTTTGGAAAAAAAAATCAATTGTTTTTTGCTATATTAACCAAGACTTTAACCAACTTTTTCTTTGGTTTTTTTTTAACTCAAGAGTCTACTTTTCATTTCCTCTCCCCTTTCTCACAGTCTCCTGCATGCTAGTCTGTGTGCTGATTCAAGCAGGAGATGGGATTAGCCAAGGGTTAGCTTAGACCCCAGCTGTTCTCCTTCAAGCTGCGGGTCACAGCAGGCTTTCCCTGTCACATGTTAAGGTGTGTGCTTCCACAGTCATGAGCATTGAACTCAGGGCCCTGCTCACGTTTGCCCAGCATTCTCCACTGAGGTCTCTGGCCCTTTGGCCTGATTCAGTCAGCTAATAATTCATATAATCACTGATTATTGTAGTCATCAAAGCCCTATTGAATGAAGGAATCTCTCAAATGGCGAAGACGGTTACTCTTGTCCTACAGCACTGAAGATGAGAGTGTAGAAGTGTGGATGAACAGCTTACTGCTCAGCTGACGTTTGCTCCGCAGTAAATAACAGGGTCAATTTTTAGAGCGCATCTGCAGCACTGTCTGGTTCTTCAAAGCAGGGAGATCAACCCACTTCCGGTTCCTCTGAATACCAGATGAGGGAGGTCGCTGGCTCTGCGCTGGTATTCATTGCCACTGTGAAATGCAAAGGACACGTGAAAATGCATGCGCACGGTTTAAAGAGCAGGCAGAGATTTCACCGTGTAACCCATCCACAGCAGAGCGAGGCCAGGGCTGTGGTCTGGGGCCCTGGGTATGTGTTACTGTCAGGGTTGATACTTGGGGATCCCCCAAGCCTCGTGTTCCTTTGAGGACGGGGTCCTAAATTATGGCGGTCATCACCTTCAGTCAGGGAGGAAACACATCAGAGGTGATGGAAGACTGGCGTGGGGGTGGGCAGTAAGCTGTGCCGTCCACTCCGGAGCCATTGAAGAGGGTCACACATCCATTTCACGCTCCGTAGACACTGACCATGTTTCAGAACACAGACACCCCAGACTCAGGGACTAAGCTGGGCCACCACAGGCATCCGTGAAGAGAGAGATCGTCCCTCCGGTCTCAGGGAAGACCATCATGAACAGATCTTCAGGATTCTTTTCCTGTATCGTCCCCATGTAACCTGCTTCTCTAGCCATTAAAAGAGGGACCCATAAGAAGAAAGTTGGGCATAGAGTTAAGGGCTGTGGTGGACTGGATGACAAAGGAGGAGAAGGGGGTTATCAGTCTAAGTCCCCGGCTTGAGGACATAAGCATGGGGCCTGGCATCAGATCACCCGCACCCATGTTAAAGCTGAGAGACAGACAGAAGCCTACACAGGCTCCCTGGCTTTGGGTCTACACAATCCCCAAGCTTCAGGCAGTGGAAGACACTGCCTCAAAAGTGGGGAATAACAGGGAAAACCATGGATGTCAGCCTCTGGCCTCTGACACAAACCTATACACGTATAAGTCACACACGCATAATTAAATTCTTAGAAATGCAGGGTGCGACCAGTTATGGTTTGGTTTCATTACATTCAAGGTCCAGGGCAAATGGAAGATGTTGCAGGATAAGTTGCAGTGAACACCCACCCAGTTGTGGAGCCCATCTAACCCTGTGGCTCTGAGAGAAAGTCAGCAGACACAACGGGATGCCTGGTGATGGGTGAGGACAGAGGCCCTAGGGCTCCAGGTTCTCAGCGGGGGGTAGATCTTCTCCTGAGGGCTGTCATGTTCTCATTTCAGGAATTGTGGGTGAAAACGCCCAGCCGATCCTAGAGAGCAACATCGGGAACCGGATGCTTCAGAGTATGGGCTGGACGCCCGGGTCGGGCCTCGGGCGAGATGGCAGAGGCATCTCTGAGCCAGTCCAAGCTGTGCAGAGGCCGAAGGGGTTAGGACTGGGATTTCCTCTACCAAAAAGCACCCCCACCAGCCCCGCCCCCACGTCGGGAAAGCCTGCCTGAGCAGAAAAACAAGGAAGAGAACATGCAGTTTCTGTTCCCGTGCCCCATTGCTCTAAAACGATCCCAGAGCTTTCTGTCTGGAAGCTGAGCTCTCTGTTGCCTCCAGTTAGTGCCCTGCCACAGTGATAGAAGTGGATTCCATCACAACTCATGGTGCTGAAGTACAACCCTCGACGAGCCTTTGTTTCCTCATAACTTGCAGCAGTTTCTAGACATGAAGAACAGTTAGCCTCTTATTTATTTTGATCCCAGACGTCAGTTCTTTCTGCTGCCTTGCTCGGTCAATGCGTGTGTGTGATGTCCAGACAGACCAAGCGGAAAGGATCGGGTGTCTCGTGATGCCTGCACTAGGTAGTCCGGTCTGCCTCCCTCCCACACTGTGGCTCCCTGTCCAGCAGTCCTAAGCACATCTGGGAAAGGCTTGGTAAGCTCGCGTTCCTTGACTTTGCCCCTCACAAGGATTTGCAGCACTAGTGCCCACTCATTCTTTCAGTAGTTTAGCGTGAATTCACAGTGGGCAAACAGTTACACCATTGTCATCACCAGAGCGCCCTCAACATTGCTCCGGTGTAGTTTGTAAACTTTACCTCACTTAGAACAAAAAATAATTACTAAAAGAAAACTGTATTTTTTGAATTCATTCTGACTGAACTATAAAACCTGCCCTCCAGATGTCTACCTCTTCCCAAAGGCTGGTATTTTTTAAAAATCAGCTCCAAGATGAAGAAAGATGATTTAAGGTTTTAGTAACTGAATTAAGTTATTAGACTCTTGAGACGGTTTATTTGAAGATTTTAGTAGCTTCCCCAAAAACCAAGTTGGGTGGCCATGACCTAACCTACTCCTTGAGGAACAGGAGAAACTCAGAGGACCTGTCATTCTCGGATTAAAACACTTACTGTGCAATTAAGCAAAACCGTATGTTCATCCCACTCCGTTACTGAGATGTTTCTGAGTCATTCACTTCATAATGCCAGAAATTCTAAGTTGTTCTTTGTCCAAAAAACACTGATTTGTTATGCTCTTCATTAAAAACACTGATAATTATTATTACTTACAATGGTCTCAATTGGTTCAGTGAAGGCTGAGATAACCCACGTAAGTCTATCCCTGAACAAAGGCAGTATGAACTTCAATTTTGTGAATTTGAAAAAAAATCATTTTAAATATTTTTAAGGCAGTAGAAAAGGTTTCGACGGGTAACAGACTTTTCCTCCTACTGAAAACGCAGCCTCCGTAGTTTGGTAAGCATCTGCATTTCCTCCAGGAACTGTCTTCTCTAGCAGTACTGTGGTGAGGAGTGGACTGTCTAGGACAAGACAGGTAGACAGCTGTGGGAGCTCTCACGTAGCACTTGCGTTGGGTAAAGCATGCTACTTGTACAAGTTCATCGCTAGAAATCTGCCGTCCTTAAACAGTTGTCTTCCTAAATGCTTATTGTATTCATGTAGGAGAGAAGCTGGAAGAGATTATAATAGTATACTGTACTCAAGGGTCTATTCCAAAGCTGTTTGCTTTTCTTTGTTTGAGTTTCATTTCTTGAAGGTCTTCTAAAGCCCTGGGACTTTTAAAGGCTCTGTTTTGAGCCAGTGAGAAAGGGAGACCATTGCAAGCGTGGTTCCAAGCTTCTGAGGAAGTGGCTGCTGTTTTCACTTTCCCTTGTTGTCCAGGACCCACAGAGCAGCCCACATGCAGCCAGTAGGGCCTGCATAGGTCTGTCTGAGTGCTTTCCATGTTGACCTCCAGGCGGTGCGATCCTCCTGCTGCAGCTTCATGAAGGTGCTCACTGAGCTGCTGTGACACCAAAGTTCTACGTTCCACACTAGAAACTTGTTGACTCACGGGTGACTGAGAACAGTTTACATTCTCCTTGTGTTTATCTGCTTGGAGTAAATGATCAGCACTTACTTTAGAGGAGACTGCCCCCACGCCACCCCATCTGCCCACAGATACCCCTTCAGCGTCTAAGTCCTTACAAAGATTAACAAGATGTGATGCTCTGTTATGCCTAACCATAGCTACCCCATCTGCCCACAAGTACCCCTTCAGCATCTAAGTCCTTACAAAGATTAACAAGATGTGATGCTCTGTTATGCCTAACCATAGCTGAGAAGTAAACATCATTGAAACAGGAAACTTTAATGTAAATCAGATGTCTGATCTGGGCACAAATTCCACTGGGTTATGTTTAACAGAGATTATTAAATTTTTGTCAGTTCAGATGGGCTCATGAAGCCAGCATCATCAAGGGGGTTTGTGATTTTAGATTATCATTTATATCTCCTTTTAAGTAGTGTTGAGATTTCCTCTGCTTCCTCATGAAGCCACCATGCTGTTCTGCAAGTTGGCCAGTTAAGGTCTCTCCCATTTCCATTCACTCACTACAGTAGCTGAAGAAATGGCCTCACGAGCAGTGTGACTCCACAGTATGGACTTGATGTCAGTCAGGTGTGGACCACCACGGTCATTTCCTCCCTTTCCCTTTCCTGAGGGAATGTGTATTCCCCTCAAATCACTCCCTTTTGTAGTGACTTTAATGGTGGCCAGTGATGCTAACACCCACCTATATTCCCAGAAACTGAGACATTTAAGGTAAGTGGAGGATTGCCATGTGTCCAAGACCAACCTAGTCTATTACAGTGAGTTCCCGGACAGACCTGTCTCAAAAATAAGTATCGGTAGAAATCCATTGTTAAATGCAGCTTGCCCATAAATTGGGCTCCACGTTTGAACACAGTGGTTTGGGAATCCTGGTATATAGTGATTAAGCAGACAGAAGTTAAGACGGCAGGGTTAAATAGGCCTGTGTATGTATGTGTATACACAGGTGCGATTGCAGCACACATCTGTATGCTGTGTACAGACGTGATTGACACATTCTGCCCTTCATTCATGTTTAACATTTCAAATTGGTATTCATTTTGAGCAGATATCTCATGAGAGAGGAATTGTTGAAATACTTTTAAAACCATTCTAGCTTGTATTTTGTCTTTCAGAGAGATGATCTACATTGGTACTGTAAAATGAAGTTGTTAGCAAGTAATACTTTGGGTTTTTTGTAGAAAACTATTATTAGTTCCACAAAGAACTGAAATAATAAAGCACAGTGTTGAGAACATTATTTCTCATGCTGTTGTCTGTATATTTTCTTCCTCACCTTCTGTTTCTTCTAATTTCCTTTTGTTTGTTTTTCCAAGGAGGTCAGTATTGAACCTAAGACCTTTTGCACACCAGACAAGTGCTCTCCCACTAGGATACATCTCAGGACCTTCTCTCCTAACCTCAAGTCATGCAAACTAGGCATGGAAATACCATTAAGATACTTTGGAGGTATTATGTTCAGTGGTAGAGTACTTGCATAGTCTACTGGAGGCTCTGGGTTTGACTCACTGTAGAAACATACAGTTAACATGTAACAGTTAACGGTAATAGTTGACATGTTAATTGCTTTTAAGCTCTACGAATTTTCAGTGTCTCAAAACATTTTTAAAGAAAAAATTGGCAACGTATCTGACTCACAAATTTATTCATGGCTGACTTGAGCTGTTCTTTCACACGGCCGTGTTTGTGTTTCCTCTGAAACTGGAATGAACCGACCTTCAGTTCTCTTTCCAACTGGGATCTTGTGACCCGGGCGGCATGGCTCATTTTCTGTCATGACCCCCTGAGACACTTGGAATATTTTGTAAT